TCTCTCCTAGCATTTCCCCTCATGAGACGACCAGCCTCCACATCCTCCTCCTCAGTCTTGCATTCTCTACAATGCCCGCCGGCCTAATAGCAACTTATAGACTGCTGGACTATGTAGGGATTATGAATGGTAGCGATGCCTTACATACAGTACGAGGTAGCAGTACCACGCACCCGTCGTTGTCTACGGACCATGCGGATACAGCCTGGAGGAGCTTGACAAAATAAACGCCTCTCATCCCCCTCCCCTACCTACAGTGAACCCCCCCGTCTCCTCTTCCAAGCGCCAACCTGCATCACGATCCACCGTGGCGTTCACATACTCACCATCTTATTGGGGAAGGAGAATCAGCGTCTTTGACCTGCATCGTCGTCCCGCGTGGCACTCAAGGCGACCTTGTCGCCTATCCGGATGATCATCAGCTCATGATTCATTGTTGTTGCTTGCTTTGCACCGCAACACCAGGTAGCGTATTCGTTTGAACTATGCCTCTCTTGTCCCCCGCGTGTGTAAGTGCATTTTGGTATCTACATGCCTGCTGAGATATTAACCAGTATGTATGTACATGTGGTAGTTTCGTCAACGCCTAGGTACATATCCCAGCGTCCCACGCATCGCTCACGGGGTTAAGTCGGATTTCATATGTAGTTAGAGCCCATTAGGGCAGCCGCCGGAGGAATACAGTAGGTAACTTGTTCGGTTTGAAACCTACCAACCTACCTCGCCCAGTCCGTCGAACCAAATCGATCATTCGCGGATTTCGATATTGCGCTCATTCATTGTATTCTTTCCATGTCGCTGTTCAAAGCACAAGACTAAGCTCCAAGTGGAAGCATGATTAGAAAGGGTGATCGTCTCGAGAACATCCACCCCCGGCTCTTCCTGGCCTGGCCTATCTCTATTACATAGGTATCCTGTCTCGCATGTGTTCAAAACGGTGTGAAGCCTCAAAAGTACATCCAACGATCACTGCCATTTTAGCCCGGACAACAAACCGACATGGACTGCTGCAGATCTAGTTATCGGGGAAATAATAATAATAATATTAAAACATCATCAATGAGTGTCGTGCGTGAGTGGTGTAAGAGCTTGCAGTAGCGTCAACCGGCCATTTGCCACCGAGATGTCATACCATACATGTACCCATCTACTTGCACCTACGATAATATCCAAATGATTGGCAAACCTATCTTTCGGTAGACATGGCTTGTGTCTGGATCTTGTTCGCGATCGAGGAACACGCAAGACAAAACCACTGCCGATAGTTGCCTTGACCGCGACATCTTGCGTCACTTCCATCATGCTAGCCGATTCACAGCCGATTGTAGCTCGCGTCAGCCTACTGATTACATCGACACTCGTACCCAACACTTCGTACTGTATCCTACATTCTTACATGTACGCAGATAGTGTAAACGGACTGCAAAAAGGTAAGGTGAGTGACTCAGAGGAAGATGCTTGCTTCGCTTAGCTTGCCGAATGAAGCCGGGTACAGCCTGTCATCACAAAGGACACTTGCACGATCGATACCAGCATGATGTAGGTAGTATTTCCATTACATACGTTGTACTAGTAGTATAGGTATACGTACTCTAGGTATGTATTCCCGGGAAGAAAGGAAGAAGAGGCCCCCTCAGCCAATACCAAACCCCGGGATTGGCATTCCGAGCCATCATGGCGGCGGAGGCGGCGGCGGGGCTTCTCCGTTCTCTCGCGTGGTCGCTCCCTTGTTCTGCCCTTGCTTGCTCCCGCTCCCTCCTTGCACTGTCAATACAATATGTTCACATGTTATTACCCTATCACCGACCAACTAGCCAATTTAATTACATAGTACACGAGGTCTATATGGATATACCGCATATTGATTGCACATCAGTAGATAGGTAGATGTAAGAAGCAGTTCTTCAGCTTTTGCGCTACCACTGCGAGGTCGGATGGCGGGAATTCAGGGTCGGGCGGGTACAAGAACACCAAAACGCCACTGACGCTGCCATTTGCAATCCTTAGATCCAATCCAATCCAATCCCTCTTCCAAGTATCATCCACTCCAAACTAAGCCGCCGCAGCCCTTGCTTACGGCAGTACTACCACCCTCGGTAGGTATTACAGCCAGCCTGCCAGCCTTTTGGAGGCTTTCCACTCATCCGGTCACATGAGGCCCGTGACTTGTGTGGCAAGATTATGTCATGTAGGAGGGGAGGGGGGTTTAAGTAATGGTTCAATATCGATACGTCCGTGACACCCGCGATGAAAATAGTAAAGCGGGAGAGAAAGCGAAGGAGGCGAGGGAGGATTGAATACCTACCACATGCGCATCCATTCTTTGAGGTCTTGGCTGGTTTCCTTTGACAAAAATGACAGGTCAGATGGAAAAGATGGAAAAGACAGATGCCGAATTGATACACAACTTGGCGATATTCGGACATCCCATCCTACTGTAACTCACTCGCTCAGCTATCCTGCGCATTTCATTGGTCCCTATGCAGGTCAGATATCCGCCGACATTTCCCAAAACGAGGCATCTTTGGCCTGCCTTGGGTACTTGTCTTTTTCTTAAGGAACTTTCCCCGCCTCTTTTGGGCTGTAGAATACTTACATAGTAATTACATACAAAAACATATGCCCTATTCAGGTTTTTCCCACGTTACATAGTACTTAAACCCACGAACAAGCCAACGAACGAACGTGAGCCACAACCAAAAAAAAAAAAAAAAAATTCGTGATGCAATGATACCCAAAGCAAACTGGGGCTGGGCCGCAAAGCCGTTCACGCTTACAGTCTGGGACATTCACAAGATAGGACGGGATAGGCCCCTGAACTGTTCCATTTCCATTCAGTACCCAGGTAGAATTCAGAGTAGGCAGAACAGCTTTTTTTTTTTTTTTTTTTTTTTTTTAAAACACTTTCGCCTGTCGCTTAACCCTTCACCCAAACCCCCTGCTCGGTTTTCCACGGACCGTGGCAGTGTGCGGAATCCCACTTTTTCAATCCGCATCTCGGCAGAACTTGTATGTACTTCCAGCAGAGGTTGCCGATTTGGGATTGTAGCTAAATGGCAACTTATCCGCGATGTTGCATATTGTAGTAATTAGGTATATTGCACGTTAGTCCATGTTATGGGATAATTTTATATTACGGTGCCTGCATGTTAACATATTGTCGCCCAGTGGAATACTGTGGTGATTACAAAAGAGAATTCCTAGGATAGCTGTTTGTGTGAGAACTGCAACCATGTGGGCTACTGTACTGATATTTGTTGTCCTTGCATGCAGTATTTGAAGAAAGCCTTCGTCAGGGCTATATGAAGCGAGTTCTCTTCATCCGTAGCTGTGACAATATGGGAACGCAAAGTAGGACAGGGTGTGAGGCGACACACGGTCTATTTGGACATGGCTAATACTCGGCCACGGATGATTCTTTCTGCGTCGCAACCGGCCCCCAATATAATTACCTCTGGGTAAATGTAGTGGGGCTTGACGATGCTGATTGGAATCTGGAAAGGCGAGCTTTTGATATGGCTGTCTTTCCATGTGCAGGTAATTAAGAATAAAAGGTTAAAGATAAGATCGGTAGAGCTCTTACGACGGTACTATACTATACGAAATGCTAGAGCTTTGCAGTTAATTATAGCTCATTCTTGATCAACCGTTACCTATAAAAACTGTCCGGCAGATCTAAAGACATAAAGACTAAGCCTGTCGTCTCTCTAACTACCTCCTCCCTATATGGCAAACGGATTTGTTCTCGTCCTTGTTTTAGAGACTTGGGGAATAACATATGAATGGCATGGACGGCATGGGAACATGAAGCTTCCCTTGTTCACGCGATATCTTAATTGGGTGTATTAGCCTGGAATCTGATTATCTCTACTCCCAAGCACTATGCAGATCTTTATCGTCGTGTTATGATTTCCTAGGGACACCCTCGAGTATTGAGATATCATTCCAGGCATGTGGCATGGAAATGGTGTCAGTAGTGCTAAGCTCCTAACATAATACTTGTTGATTGTACTCCAGGTGATCTGCATCACGAACCACCAAATTCTCTAGAATAACTATTATTCGTGGCAAGGAAAAGTCGTTTCTACGGCTACTTTACTTGCTCATGCTAGAAAATGAGCACGGTTGTTGTACAGGTAGCTAAGGCGTCATGTAATAAACTACGAAGCAGGTGATGGCTAAACTTTGACCTCAATTCATAGGCAGCATGACTGAGACACGGAGTAGTCTCATTACTTATGAAACTATCCAGCGTACTAGACCGAAGGACTATGATCCGAGATGCAAGTAAATAAGTTAGTATTAGGCGCATTAGACATCGACATATTTAATATTGTTGATTTCATACCGGAATTTGTATCAGTATACATACGATTCTCTCCTACAAGGCGAATAAACCTGCACGCACTGATAACTCTGTATCATATATTATTTACCTGCCGAGACAATACCAGGCACAGAGCCCCCCGTCTCTTCTTCTGCTTGATCACTTTGCCATTACTATCATTGTAGTGTGCTGTTAGCCGCTGGCATCTGTTACTGTTAGATGTAAGAAGTAGGGAATTACGAGGGACATCAGCTACATATGTATCTTGTCGTTAGCATTCATACGCAAACCGGAGTATTGTATATGTATTAGTTTATCGCTTGTCTGGACACAGAAGATCCAATGGTTTGGGCAAAGGGCTCGGTTGTGTATATAGCTGTATGGAGGGTCTTTTCACTTGTTGTGCAATAATGGAAGTCTTGCTGCCTTCTTTGTGGCTGATCCTTGGTTATATGGCTGTCCGTATTCGAAACGAAGCAGCTACAATATTATTCGATCTATCTCTCTTTTTCCTTATTTATAGGTAGATATTAGATAACTTAAGACTTGTTACGTTGGTCATGAGAAAGTGTTGAGGAGCTCAGTAAGTTGAGGTGTGCTGCTGTCGGCTGGCAGGCTTGAGCTTACAGCTGGCACAGCGCCATCAACTTGGACTGTTCAATCAATTGAGGATACTTGCCTCATACCATTTCATGCTTCTCATCTCACCCTCCGCCCGCATGCCCTTATGCCCGTGGGCATGAGAAACCAGCTTATTCTTCTGCTCAGGTAGGCTGATTCTGATTATTTGCGAGTCGTCCTCTTCTGTAGAGGAGAGTGAGTGAGTAGGTGAGTAATTGGATGAGTGAACGAGTGGTCGAGCGATCAGAGTACAGAAGAAGACTTGTTTCGCGCCAGCTGAGTTCGATTTGGGGATTGTCTTCCTTCCTTCCTTCCTTCCTTCCTGCCTGCCTGCCTCTCGGATTGCCTGCCAAAGGACATTGGAGTTTGGTTGATTGGGTTGGTTGAGCGGATTGCAGGTCTGCAGTGCATCGTTCAAGGTGCGTGCATGTGTATGTTCGTATGTGTATACATGCATTCCTGAGAACTTCGCGACCTTACAATCTTCCTATCTCAACTTGCCCGGCTTCATAATTGACTGCATATCTACTTAGCACCTACCTACCTACCTACCTATCCATTCGAAAACAAGGGGCTATCAACAAACGGAGAAAGACTTGGGAACATTTTCACACGGTACGGGGTGTGATTGCCTATTACACGGACGGGACGAATCAAAGGATCAATTGAAACAAGGGGTTAAGCGCTTATCGTCGCTATCCATCATGACCTCGCGGTTCGTCTCGGGCGGTATCATCGCGGGCGATGGAGACAGCAGCACTCCGGATGCGAAGGGAAACTCTGCGGAAGTGACCACGAATACTACCACTATTATCACTACTAGTGGTGGTGGTGTTAATGCAAATGCAAATCCGAATGCGAAGGAATGGGAAGCCGTTCAGAGAGATTTGGATGAAGAGAGAAGGCGGCGCGCAGAGGCTAGGAAGAGGGATGTCGAAGGGGGTGGCGAGAAGAGTCTTTATGAGATTTTGCAGGCTAATAAAGGTTGGTTCTTATTTACTTCTTCATACTGTTTCTGGGGGATGTTTCGGCTGGTGTTATCCTATCTGTCGTTTATATTTATGCTCTGTTGCCTCTCTATCCGTTTCCTGCGGCACACACCCGCATATACATCATTTGTGCTTCACCTCCCCCCACCCCACTGTTCATATTTGATTTGGCTTGAGTACGTCCGTTTGGCTAACTGTGTATGCCTTGTTGCTTTCTTGCCACACAGCCGCCAAACAAGCGGCCTTTGAAGAAGCAAATCGCATCCGGAACCAGTTCCGCGCGCTGGACGACGACGAGATCGAGTTTCTGCACGGCGTTAGCGATGAGAAGCGCGCTGAGGAGGAGCGCTTGAGGCGCGAGACGGAAGAGGGGCTGGCTAATTTTCGGAAGGCCCAGAAGCTTTCTGGTGGTGGTGGTGGTGGTGGTGATGATGCTGTTAGTGCTGATGCGGAAGCCAATGGGGATGGTGTGGTTGAAGAGTGGTCTGCTGCTGCTGCTGCTGCTGGAAGCAGGAAGAGGAAACGGGACAGAGATAGGGCTGGGCTTAAAGGTGTGAAGAGGAGGACTAGCGTGCCTGAGGAGGAGAAGAAAGACGAGTCTGTGGCGAGGGAAATGAATGAGGTGGCTTCCGACAACCAGCCTACCTCGGCCTCGCATGCCCAGCCCGGATCTGCCGCTGCTGCGAAAGCTTCTACACAGTCTGCCAGCGCTGTCACGTCGGCGATGTCGAAGCCGAAACCACCCTTGGGCCTTGTTGACTATGGCTCAGATGAAGAAGACGAAGATGATTGAGTGGAGGTATGGATGCGTGCGTCTAGTGAGACATGGCATCTCACAATTACACAGGTGATCATGGTCGTAATGGCCGTCATGACTATACCCACCTGTCTCGTCTCGTCGGTTTTTTCCCCAGAGGTATCCGTGGACAGGGGAGTGACACTTATTGTATGCGGATATCTAAGACTGGTCTGGTTCAGGAGACGGCGGATCAATCGAGAGCTCCTCGTTGCTTGTTTTGAAATTCATTACTGGACGCATGCCTATAGGCACTTGTAATCAAGTGTGTCTGGGAATAGGGACGAGGTAGGAGAACAACACCATTCATACAATGTAGAGAATAGGTATGTTGATGAACTGAGTTGATTTGACTCCTTATTCATTCATGGTATCTTTTCAGCGGGCTCGCCTTCGTGATAGGGTCTCATCTGCGTCAATCAATGTATTAACTATAGGATCCGTCTAGTTCATCATCGAAAATGCCGAATGTGATAGTTATCTTATTGCAGCACCAATCTACGAGGCTACTGAGGTGGTTTCATCAGACATTCATCAATATCTGAAGCTGAAAAAGAAATATGTAGGTAGGTACCTTAGGTACATCCTTACAGGCATGGTTAGGTACCTGGCGGCGTAGGGGCACACCCACTGTAGGCACCTGCTGTAGGTACCCGCCCCCCCCTACTCTTGCGCTAAACCAGCCCAGCTAAAACCGGGCAACCTTGGAAGATATACATAGTAGTATATATATGTAGGTACCCATGTACCCATGTACACGCCCTCGCTCTAATTCCATTGAACCATTCCGAATTCAAGTTGCTTTCCTCCACGCGTCTCCATCATCGCCATCATCATCAAAAAACGACACCATCGCGGCGCCCAGCCTTTGCGCCAACGCTTGCTTCAGCCCCAACCGCTGTCGCACCAAGTCGCCGACCCCGGCTTGCGCTGCACCGGTTCTGCTCGTCTCCAATAGAAACAGTAATAGAAACCGTCGCCGACCGGTTTCTCTCGTCACTGCCTCGAAATCTCCATTCCCATCCATCAACTACCGAGAACAATCAAAGAACGATCGAAGAACGATCGAAGAGAGAAAGCGTCAAAAACTAACCGGCGCAGCCGCACACCTTTTGAACCCCCGGGCTGGTGCCTTGCGTCATATCTTTTACGTCACTTTCCGTCAAGTCCATATCGCCTGCCTCCCTCGGTCAATCCAGCTGCCACGTAAACCACCCAACGATGGCTCGTCGTCCGGGTCGTGCAGCCGCTCGGCGTGCTGCTGCGAAGATGGGTAAGCCAACATCTCAGATGCCTTACCTGTTCCCCCGCCCACCAGTAGCTAACAGTGAGCCATCAACCAGAGAGCACTCCCCGGACCTTTGACGAGATGGAAGACGAGACTATGCCAGATGCAGACGCCTCCGACCGCGAGCCCCAGCCTGATCCCCAGCCCGAGCCCGAGAACGAGCCCGAGAACGAGAACGAAGAGTCTGCCGGAGAAGAGCAAGAGGAAAATCAAGACTCGGATGGGCCTTCTGCCAAGTCGCCATCCCCGCCCCCACAACAAGTCGTTCGACGGCGTCGGCTCGGTCGCCCACCTAAGAATCGCCCTGCCGACTGGGACTCTCTCCCCATCGAACCTCCCCAGCGGGATCCGAACGATACCCCTAGACGTCGTGGTCGCGGCGGCTGGAGGGGTCGCGGTGGTCGCAAGGGTGCCTCGTTTCAGCCTACACAGCAAGCTATCGATAAAGAGGGCAATGTTATGGACATTGTTGACGATGAGCTCGCATTGCCAGAGGACCCCGAAGGCGAGACCAAGGTCGACAAGATGGGCCATCTGCAGGGAGGTCGTGAGTATCGGTGCCGCACATTCACCATCGCTGGTCGTGGAGAGAGACTCTACATGTTGTCTACGGAACCCGCTCGTTGTGTTGGTTTCAGGGACTCCTATCTCTTCTTCACCAAGCACAAACGCCTATACAAGATCATCGTTGATGACGAGGAAAAGCGTGATATGATTGATCGCAGCATCATCCCGCATTCGTACAAGGGCCGTGCTATTGGAGTAGTAACTGCGCGGTCCGTTTTTCGAGAATTCGGTGCCCTCATCGTGGTCGGAGGCAAGAGGATCATTGATGACTACGAGGTCACCAAGACCAGAAACGAAGGCGTCGTCGAGGGGGAGATTGCCGACCCTAACGACAGATTTGTTGTGGGCGAGGCATACAACAAGAATCAATACGTCGCCTGGCATGGTGCGAGTGCCGTTTACCATTCCAATGCGCCATCCCAGCCCGCCCAAAGCGGCAAGGTTGACATCAAGAAGAGACGGGTGAACGTGAACGATGTCAATTGGCAGCTCGAGCACGCTCGTGAAGCAAGGTATGACGCTCATGTGCCATCTTTTACGAAGACAAAGCTCACATCATCTTAGCCGCTTCAATGCTGAATTGGCTGCTGTTCGCCGCCAGAACCTAGCTGGAGTCTACGATGTCCACACTAACATAATGCAATACCCTGCCATTATGCAGCCTACTCATGCGCGAGTCGAACAGGTTACAGAGTCGTCTAGTTCTACTGACGCTGACGTTGACTTGACCTCGCATCCTCACTTCCCCTCTCTCGACCCTAGGATTCCTCGGAATTTTACCGTCATCGATACATACATGGAGACGCCACCCGCAAGCCTGTCCTCAGCAGTCTATGAGAAACGAGAAGTCCCCGCTTTCCTTGCCGAATTTCAGGGTTTGGGGGCTGTGTCGAGTGACATCCTCGAAGAATTGCCTGCCGAATGTCGAGAAGCGTTCGAAAAGGCCCTGGAACAGGAGAAGGCATGGAAGGCAACATGGGGCACGGAAAAGTCGATGACCCACAGGAGAGACCCTATCATCGATGCTGCCATCGTCCCGTACTCTAAAAATCCAACTCAAGCTTAGGCATTTTCGTGCCACACTGCCTACCTCAGAACGGTCTTGGGGGGCCTGGCGTTACGTAGTGGGTATGTAGGGCTCTTTTTGTACGAGTAATGAGACGGCGTTTGATTTGGGGAAACCTTTAGATTGGCAGGTAACGAACTGTACCGCCTCCTATTCAGTAGTATCTAGTTTAGGGAATGGAGGCGAGAGCGCAGTTTACATGCGTTTGAGACAAGGACACTGGAATAGCGAATGTGTGATGAAAAGGAAGAGGTGAGGATATACCTAGATAATACCTAACTTGGTAGATGAATTCCTTGCAACATGTACCTCGTAATACCACTGAGTATAGGTTTTCGTCCTGCCCGACTGATCATGCAGATCGGTGAATTTTCTGCCTTTCTATCATCACCCTGTGCGTTGTAAGTTTTTTTTAAGTTTTTTTTTTTTGAGCTCATCGGAAGACAATAGCCGCTGAATTGATCATTGATGAATGGTAGAGACGAATACTAGAAAATGGTCAGGGGTTTCTGACAATCAAGTTCCTTGGTTTTGCTCACCCACTTCTCCTTTAAAGATGATTCAGTAAATATCCATGCATACACAAAACTTAAAGTATTTTGGGACGGATATCTTTCATGAATCACTTCGTGACAGTTAGGGAACGGGCGGACCTCCGGCAGACGGATGTCCGAGCCGCAATACACGTAGACAACATCAGGTATTGCATCTTTACCTATTCACGTACCATTGAGATTGATTGTTATATTCAGCGGTATTTTACTACAGCCGCTATTTATTTAGAACCTGGCGTCACTCATTCGAGCACACCGAGATCAGCTGAGCGGCAATGAAGATATTATGTTTGCACGGCCGCGAGCAAAGCGGCCAGATCTTTCAGGCACACCTTAGTAAGTAAGCATGGACGATGTTGGCCAATTTCATCATCCAATGACTAATTGACGGTTTGCCTTATCAGGTGCACTGATGAGAGAGGTTGTAAGTGAGACAAAGGTGTCATTCGACTTTGCCGATGCCCCGATACTGTGTGGAGGGTCCTCGTCATTAAATGAGCGAGCTGTGCACAGTTTCTTCGACACCACGACTGCTGATGAAATGCGCATGGCGCATGATTGGCTAGCCAAAAAGCTCACCGCTCACGGCCCATATGATGGTGTGATAGGCTTCTGCCAGGGAGCTACGGTAGCATCGAGCTATCTACAATTCTACCAGTGGCAAAACTACCAGGATGAGATACCGTTCCGGTTCGCCATCTTCATCAGTGGCAGCCTCTCGCTAGCAGTGCTCCAGACGCTTGGGGCCCCGATCCCGGACGCTGCAAAACGTGTGGTGGAAGAGACAGACCTCCGTCGCCAAGCAGACCTAGGCTCAGCGGCAACACACGTCTCACTGGCACGGCAGGCCATGTTCAACTCGGACGACTGCTTCGGACTGAACTTGAACAGGATACCGCGCGAGTTGAAGATCAGGATTCCGACAGTGCATATCTGGGGAATGGGCGATCCGGGCTTCCCAACTTCCATCCACCTCGCGAGTATATGTGATCCGTACCTGAGGAAGACCTATACACATAGTGGTGGGCACGAGGTGCCTCAAGGAACCGAGAACACACGACGAATGGGCGACTTGATCCTATGGTGCATGGAGCGAGCCACCTGGCCAGGTGATCGACGGGAACCTATGAAACCGAAAAAAGAAATTATGAATAGATGAGATGAAAGAAAGGGCGAATTGGGGGGGGGGGGGGGGGGGGGGGGTATAAAAAAAAAATAAAAAAAAAAAAAAAAAACAAAAAAAACAAAAAAAAAAAAAAAAAAAAAATAAAAAA